ATGACCGTTTCTAGGCTCATGGCTTGAATTCTTTTCTATATCAGTCAAGCACGCTCAATGACACATCATATTGTCCCTAGAACTTGCTGCCGCAAGTGCCCAATCCAGTCCACTAGCTGCCAAGCAGTTGTATGCAGTTGTACAGATTTTACATGAGACTTCACAGAATGCCCTATTCGCATCCGTGTGCCACCTTATCTTCTGTGCAGGTAACCGGTAGCAGGTGCAGAAGATCTTTTAAGTTTCAAGATCCTTGTTATTGTTTGGGCAGCCCCTTGCATGATGTAGCTTTCGCATGGCCCCCCCCCCCACACAAACATGTACATGTTAGACATCCTATATATCCTTGTAGTCCATGTTTCTCCAGGCGCTGATGTCTCCAAGCTCACGGGGGCTGCAGCATGTTTCTGCCTTTATGGCGGAAGGCTATACGGCTCACGCATGTTCTTGCGTCATGCTCGGACAGTGGTCAGGACTGTGCCATGTGTTCGATTTTGCCATCGCGGATTTGAAAGGGAACATGGCTAGTGCCCTAATTATGCGTATATGGGAGGGAAAACTCCAGGTTGAAATCAGCAGATCAGCGGAAAAAAACTGGCTTAAGATGCATTTCCCACAGAGAAGGGGAGCTTGGAATGTCAGGTTCTGATCGGGTTCCTATTGGCACAGGAAGGAAAGCACACCGATCAAGAAAAAGGACAAATGATCATCACAGAAATATTGGTATGATGAGCAGCCAAATCTCCGGACCTTGTGTGGTAGCACAATTGCAGCCGGTGTTTCTACAACGATGCTTTAGGGTTGGGTCACTGCAACAGGAGTTGGTTGGGTTGGCCCAACCAGCCAAAAGGTTCCTTGCGCTCAGAGTTTTTTCGACCGCAACGACCATAAAACATCGCCTGCTTGTTGCTCAGTGACAGCTAGACGTTCCCGGCCGACCGTTATGGATGTCGACTCATGTGTACCGAGCTGCAGGTGCTTGGAGCATTTCCACTGCGGAGCGTCGCTGCCGAGCTGTCAAGAGTCGCACTGTGGTGAACAGACACTGGAGAGGACGGCCATTCAATTTATTTGTTTCTACTAGCTTCTTGTTACTACTAGTAAGGCACTTGTTAGTACTAGTAAGGCACTTGTTCCTAATAGCGAACATTGTTTCTACTAAGAGTCGCACTGTGGTGAACAGACGCTGGAGAGGACGGCCTCAACGGCGTCCTTCTACAACATCCGGTGCGCGCATCGGGTGTTCGGGGGAGAGGGAGGGTGAAGGATGAGAACTGGGAGACAAGACTGGGAGATAAAGCGAGACAGAAGGGGATTGGTTGAAGGATGTCCATCCACATTGTAAGATGAGAGGAGTTTCTTGTTAATTGCACCCCATGCAGCAATCTTTGTTCTCGCGGTTGAATGAACATCAATCATCCCTAGATGGCCCTTGATTTGTTCCCTACTGTAGGCCAGCTCATCAACATCAATTAAAAAGCCAGGTCTAGTTCCTGCAGCCTGGATCTTGAGGTTCTCTGGTTCTCCGTTTGAGCTGCGAGAATTGCTGCGTTACGTCTAGTGACTGGGATCGTGTTCGACGGATGTGTTGGCACGAATTGCTGCGTTCGCTCCGGTGGAGGCACAAGACGGATGTGTTGAGCATCCCAGTGGAGTCCTTCCGAGATATCAAACGACTTGCAGATGCATGCTGCTCGACCTGTGGGCACATGGGTCGAAGATCACATGACGTGGGCAACGACTCGTCAACAATAGACCCGGAGTGGTCAACCACCTTGATACAATTTGCCTTTCAAATCAAGCTCACCAGAATCTGACTCTGCAGCAGGTCACCCGGAATTTGGACCTTCAATAAAGCACAAGAACTAGAGGCCACCTCCAGAGCCAGGTGCAAACCCAAGGTTTTTTCATTCACGAATCACTTCCGTAATCCATCCGATTGGGGTATAGGGGATAACGAGTCAATGGCATGAGGCAAAAATGCAATCCACTTGTTATGCCCTATAAGACTCCCGGTGACTCACGAGTCATGGTTTGGAATCAATTCCCAACCTCCCTCGACCGAGGTCCCTTCGATGCGCTGGAGCAGATGACCGCCTTGGTGTCGGCGGGACGCCGCGCCGCCCGGTGTGACGGCCGAGCGGAGCCTTGGGACAGCGGCGTGGTGGTTGGTTCTTTGACATGGTTTGACCGTGGTGTTTAGTGGTGAAACAGATGACGATGACTTCTACTTATAGGATAGTACTCCAAGGTTGCTATACTGTACTCACATTGGAACATGGGTGAGGCTCTGAAAGAGGGAAGACGATTCTTTCTGCACAAACAGGAGGTTTGACATGTTCAGCTTCACGTGTCGGTGTTGCAACTTGGGTGAAAGTCCCACAAGTCATGTTGAAAGGACTCCCTCCAACCTTCTCACTCCAACAGCCAGAAAACGCGTGAGTTTTTGTGGTTCTTCTTTTTCAGTGTGATAGGGAGTGGGAACACGTGGGATCACTCTTTGGAACATCCAACATGTGATCCAAACGTGCATCAAACAAGTTCAACAAAATATACACCTCCAAGTTTCAGCTTCTCTTTGGAAAGATCCTGAGCTGCCAATTCGCGGCTTTGAGCATCATGTAAAGAAGGATGGGTGGAATAATCGTATTGTTCCAATTGACTCCCACACCCCTGATGGTTTGCAATAGTTCCGTACGAGCAACACGAATCGAATGAGACAATTCAGTTTGCAGCATGTTTCTCTACCAGTTATAAACGTACTCATGACTATACGTATACGTATATAGTATTCTTAGCAGAACGACATTTCGTGCCGGTCAAAGGAACCAGTGCTACTTACAACAGGGAAGTCGCCTCTGTGATTACGTTTCTCTGCGCGCTTTCCTGTGAACCGGTTGCAGGTCATAATATATAGTGGACAGAGAGTAGAGGGCCCCGCACAATTCCCATAAGGTGGTTTATATGGACCCCCATCTGGAAGACATGTAGGGGTTTGTGCCATCTACTCGGAAAGCCACTGTAGACTGTAGATGATATTTACACCCGCAGTTCACCCAAAAGCAGCCTGAGGTCTTCCAGAAATTCATTGGTGGAGCACCAGTTTGGCAATGCGTGCATTTGCATCTTGGCACTGTGTGCAAACCTTTGGACCACCCTGCATTGAACTGGGACGCCAAGGGCTAGCGCACATGGAGTTCAGACTGAGAAACCAAGAGAATCATCGGTTTCATCTCAGCGGTTTCTTCTGCTCATGGAACCAGACTCGCACAGAACCTGAGGATGACATGCAACACGTCTCTCTTCAGTGCTGACATAGAATCAACAATTCTTATACTTGAACTTCTTTCCCGCTCGACAGACAGAAGGTTCCCCGGTCGACTGCGCCAGATTGCAGAGGTTTTTGTGATCTTGAGATTGAGAACGAAGCCCTGGAAGTAGTGTATGGCTCAACTGGACTTGGCCCAGTCGTCCCGGATCCACAACATGATCCAGAAGAGCAAGACCACATTGAGGGCATGCATGGACATACCATTTTAAAGTTACCTTTGGTCCAAGAGTTAGCAAGGACGCTACGTTCGGGGCTCCTGGCCATACTACTAGGAGCGTTCGGACGCTACCTTTTGAAGTGATTCCTTCCGATGTGTGGGTGACCACATCACCTCCCACATCACCTCCTTTGGTCGGCATCGGCGGCATCGGCTGCATCGGCTGAACCAGGTACCCTTACGTCAGCGTTCCCTGGCTGCACCTGCACACCTTCCGCGGCAGCGTCCCAGAGGAGCATTTGCCCAACAGCCCTCCCCACGCCGCCTGTGTGGCAGCTGAGGCCTCTTCCGCGATGTGTTGCAAGGATGTGTGGAGTGTGATGGCCTGGAGCCCTTCCTGACAGTTGATTAATAAAGAACCCACATGAAGAGCTCGTCCAATCTAAATGGTGTGTGTGTGTATGAATCAACAGTCTAATATTATTGAATATATACATCGATATATGTAGAACCCAAACACCATACTGATAGTACTATACATACTGAGCACAGGTTTGTCGAAGAGGCTCATCCTGACGGCCCGAGTCTCCCAACGAAAGGGCTGTAGGGGGTACTCTCACATGTTTACCAGGGGTATTTTGAGGCAAACGCCGTGGGAAACAGGTCGAAACACCTGACCATGCTCCCACTGTTTTTGGATCTAGTCCTACTTGCTTGGGGACATGTTTTCAATCTCAAACAAGTAGATATCAGTATAAGTACGTACCACTGGATTGGTTGAGAGAAAAGCGACAGTAAACCATGGTTTTTCCTTCCCAAACTACGGCATTCCTGTGGATTTTCCCACAAGCCCCATAAACCATGCAATTCTAGGACAGTCAGTTTCAATGACCGGCTGCTGCCACCGCCACCTTGCCTCAGGGCACGGCCGGCGAGGCCGCAGCGGCGTTGCTTGCGCTGGCAAGGTGATGATCTGGTTATGATGGCAAGGGTGCATTCACAGATTCAGATGTATGTTCCTTTGTGGATTGCCCATGGTGATTGCAATGTTTCGACAAAAGGACTACACCCCTGGAATGTTGCGATGTTGCGATGGCCGGTGCTGAAAAAGTCGCCGTGCAAACCCGCTTTTGTGGCCGTGGTTCTCTCCATCCACGGATTGGGTGACATGTGTGTGCAAAGATCACACTGACGACACGTCCAATCAGCTGCAAAAGAATGCGCTTGAGATTGCTTGAGGTGAGATTGCGAGGTCGCGCAAGTTTTCAGCAGTGTTTCTCACATTGGGATGCCTGGGATTGTCCACCGAATTCTTGCGGTGTATTTGTGAGTCTGGCATTCTCTTTACTAGGAGCAAAGGGCATCGCTACGAACGGCGCGAGGACGCTATGAATGGGGCTCCTGGCATCGCTACGAACGTAGCATTCTTACTACGTTCCTAACATGAAGAAGCCACACATTCTCTTGTACCAAAAGTCAAGTTGATAGAGCGCTTTGCCGGACTCGCTCAAGGTGTGGAGCGCACGTGAAGCCGCATTGCGGGCCGACGAATCATCGTTTGAGGTGTGGCGGAGGGCATAGCGAGGTTATGCGAGGTTTTTCCTTTTCTTGGTGTGCGAAAATGAAGACACGGATTTCGTGGCTGGAATCATTTGGAGTTTGTTTTCAGTCAAGTCGCAGAGAAAAGGTATGAGCATGGCAATTTCATTTGATTTCATTCGCCTTTCGGCATTTCAAATCCACCAAACTGTGATATGGGGACGCATGAATTTCAGGGTGACTCACTACCAAAAGACGACCCTGGGACGAAAATAAACTGACTCATAATATGCTAAAGACTCGTGGGCCATGACTTGTGTTTTTGTTGAGACTTTCCGAGTCGAACCTGTCAAAAACACGAGCTCCTGGGGGAAGGATGGGCCAAGTTTCGGGCCTTTTCGGGCTCATCAGATATTCGATTCGCGACTCGGGTCGAATGGATTCTCTAAAAAGCTTTCGACGAGCGAGCTCCTGGTCCTGGGAGTCTTTCTCTGTCAGTTGAATCGACTGAATATGCATTTATATACAAACTACAAGTGAAGCTTCCCACCAATTGAGATCCGATGAGCAATTTCTGCGATTGGAAGACTTGGCCGAATCCTTCCGATGGCCCCCAACAGTCTGCAAAGAAGACCGCTGCAACAGTCTGCGGTGTGATGATGGTGATGTGCCTTGTGTTTCGAGTCTCTTGTTTCCAGGATTCAAGTGGTCCAGTGCCTTTAGCTTCCTGGAAAGCCATCGCCGTCTTGCCATCGCTGTCCACCGTTCTCAGACTGCACTTGCCCCTCTTGCTGCCTTCGCCACAGATGACTGGCCTGACGGTCGCGGGCGAGGCCTGGATGGGTTACGGCCCCGAAGATGAGGAACAGATGTTTTCAATCAAGGGGGATGTGAGGCATGCAACTCGTCAGAAACATGTGTTTTTCGATATTTTTAAGGAAGTCATCTCATCATACTGTAGCCTGCAGAGGGTAGGGCACTTCGCTCTAGAAGAGGTACACTCCGACTCACTAACATGGAAGTGGAAAACACCCTGTTTGTAAAGGAAAGTAGTCTTCCAAGAGGCCATTTTCCACTTCCATGTTAGTGAGTCAGAGGGTATGCGCTTTAGAATCTTTAGAATGCTTTAGAAGCAACTCACTTGGAAACGACATTATCATGGAAGAATGAATTCCAAGTTCCAACATTTTGACCCAAATATTTTGTTTCTTGGGTTGGCTGGTCCCTTTTCAAAGCAGGCTCCAAGGTTTCAGGATGTTTTCGCTGCTTGAGCACCTCATTTTTTGGAGATGTTGTGTGTGATTCCCATCTATTTCAGACTGCAGTGGTTCAAGTCTGAGCCACAGTGGACCATCCCATAATATTCTTATGAAGAATTTAGACGGAGCCTTAGCCTTGCGATGCACATCCGCACGGGCAAACCGTGCGGTGGCATGAAGTCCGCAAAGCCCACTTGACCAGGGACCATCATGTCTCTAAGGTACAATGGACAGATTCAGGGATATAAATTAAGATACATAAAGGGTATCCTCTGTATACAAGGTTAATTGAAGATACAAATATATATAAGTGGATATCCTTGTATCTTAACCAGGGACCCACATGTCCTGTCATGCTGCCCGAGGCACGCGCATGGGACCTACACAGGCGCGATGTCCACATCGCGCGTTCCGGGGGCATGATGCCAAGAACGATCGTGGGTGGCTGATGAGCGGGGTCATAACGTAGAGACAGGCAAAGTGTGTTCCACCCTCATGACAGCTCATGGTAGAACATGACATAAAGCAAACCTGTGCAATATCATAGAACAACACACACACAGAGAGCGCTGCGCTGGTTGTCCAGGAGTTTATCATCTTCAGGATCACAGGCTGAGAAACTGCTGGCAGGCATTTTACTTCCAACACCTAATATAAAGAGCAAGACCAGATTCACCTGATAGACTCCTCGTTGATCGATGCCTTCTTTGGGTGACATTCAATGGGTTTGTCTGCGTCCAGCCACGTACTTGTAGCTAGCAAAGTAACCAAGGAAGTTGGAAGATGTTGCTTTTACACACTCATGCAAATTGCTCCGTCTTGGCCAAATTGGACCTGGATCTTCAATAAGGTACTCCATTTTACAATCAGACCCGTGTGGCTCGAATTGTCAATCGTTGTTTCAGATGCCTCATCTTTGATGACAGCTTCGAGCACGAGGTCCAGCAACTCGGCGATTGGACGATGGGGATGGCGAGAAGGCCCCACGATGGGGATGGGGCAGCTGCAGAGGCACCCAAATACTGCCCTCCAGTTTCTACTTTGGACACTGGGTTACCATGGGACAAAATTGTTTGTCCGAGAAAAACACAATATGGCTACTTGCACTCACTATAGTAGTAATTTTCCAAGATCTAAATTAAGGGTCCATGGGAGGCGACAGAGGCATCGACTGGAGACCCTTCGGTTCGAAACACAAATTGATTTCCTCAATCCAGCCAATGCCCAAGGGAATGATTTCCCTGTGAGCAATTGAGACAGCATCATTGGTTTAAGCGCCAGACCCATATGGAATAATCGGCTGCTAACAAGACAATGCATGGACAGCTGGAAGAGGTTCCCATCTCCGACTAGACATTGTTTGCATTCTTTGAATGATTGAATCCACTTGCAAAAAGATTCGATTGTGTTCTTCCCCCCCAGGAAAGACTATGGATAGAACGCCCACACCCCTGCGGTTCTTTCACTCCCCATCGCCAGCGCGTAAGCCATGGAGCGAGGCTGCCACCCTTGAGCCGTGAGGCGTGGGGGGACTCTCCGGTGTCCCAAATGAGAACACCAGAGACGGAGGAGACGGAGTTCCGAAACGAGTTGGTGGTTTTTTTGGGTGTGACCGGATGATCCATTGAAGATCAGATCACGGGTGGACCGGTTCTGTGGAGACATTGGACCACATGGACCACGTTCGATGTTTGGATATTGGGTTTCGTGGAGTGGAGTTGGTGGAGTGTAGCAAACTGACTGGCTACATCAAGTCATATTTGGCAGAGGAAAGCCGACCTCCAAGCCATGGTGGAAAGGCCTAGGTTTGGTTTGACTACTGGCATCCAACTTTTTTTTAAATCAGAAACGCTTGGCAAACCAGAGCGAACTACCCTGACTTGACATGTCCAGGAAGGTGTTTGATTGCTGGTTGATTGACCACCAAGCGGCGTTGCTTGGCGCGGCCAAGCAAAGTCTACTCATTCTCTACAGACTGAACACCCGGGGCTTGGCATGAAGTGGCTCAGACCGACTACCCCCTTTATTGAGGTACAGTAGGTTCAAACTGGAGGTCACAAACTCAGTGTGGCCTTCAATGTTGATCAATTTTTGACAATTCAGATCCATAGAAGATCACCTGTGTCGGCTTGGATTGCTCTGTAGCTTCTCACTATTCATTCAAAGGAACATGCTTTTCTTGCCTTCCACATGTTTATATAATGTTTGTCTTTTTCACAGTTCCAATGATGGAGGATCTTCACGACCTACTGGAACAACAATCCATACTATTTTGGTTGGAGGGACACCTCAATTGGACCTCCCACGTTCGTCCATCGACGGACCAGTCCTTTCAAGGCGCTCATGCAGCATGGATCAAAGAGTATTTCTACACCCTAACTCACTAATTTGATGGAGATGTGAAGCCATTCTGGTACGTTCTTTTTAAATTGACCGTCTACATGAGATATGTTGTTTGGAGTCCAGGAGTCTGCAGAGATCGTCCTCCAAAAAGCGCGTCCGTGAAAGTCACGTGGTCGCCCCACGTCGGCCCGGGCCACACAGGACGCTTTGTCGGATGCCCGAGCGACTGGACATGCATTGGAGAAGCTGACTGGGTTTAGATGGACCGATTGCAGTTGACTGGCTTTCCATTAGGCGATCGTACTTAGGCGATCGTACTACTTGACAGCCATTCAAGTTAATAAGTTTATGATGGTTTACTACTCGGCTGTTACATGTTTTCTTTTTTGCGGTTGACGTGTCTATGTCAACGCTGCTCACTTCTGGTGTTTGGGCTTTGGGTCTGAGCTCTTCCGGCTGTTCGTTTGGGATCTAGGAACCCCGGAAATGGGAATCACCGGAACAATCACTGTGACCACCCAGGAAGCACAGTTCTCTAGGTTCCATACTTTTAGTTGTGAGTTCTGATGAGTTCTTTGTTCTGGGTCCAACCATGTGGCTCAAGGTGCTTTGAAAGATAAAGACTTCTCGTTGTGTTTATTGTATGGATATTTTATATAGTGCCCCTCTTCTGGGTCCATGTTGGGATAAGACTATGTTCACCGATATGTTTTTCTTTACACTCTCGATCCACATCTTTTTCTCTGAACGGATATACTGTATAGTTGGGGACCCGTCAAGCGGGTGAAGGTGCCGCCTTCGAAGGTGGATTTGCATTAGTACCTCTTCTGTACCCTTCGGATTGCCTAGGTTGTGCTGCTCTTGGACCTCTGGCATCCAGATGCAGGCGGCCACTGGCAGACCAAGCACCCAGACAGCGCGACAAAAGAAGAGGCTGCAAAGGCGACGGAACGCCACCTTGTATCGGTTGTTGTTACGTAACTTGGCGGTTTCATGCAATTGTTGAGCTAGGTAGTGAGAATTGGAAGGGTCATTGCGTTATAGCCATCAGCTGCCTCACATACTGTCGATCACTTTTTCAAGGTTGCATCAGCTCGTGTTATTCAACTCTTATCCATTCTGTGAAGCCTCCGCTGGGGATGGATCTGCCTGGCAAGTTTGCCTTCTACCATCATCACATCAGGTCTGATCCCATGCGCGGGTGTTCGCCAGGCTTCTTGCGGGAGCAAGCTACACAAGCTGTGCCAGAAAGAGAGAAATGCTCCCGAAAGCATGCGTACACGGTGTGAAGTTTGATCGCATTTGATGCGCGGGAAAGGACGGAGGAACATCAGTTGATCGTACCTGAAGCGGGTCATTTTGGACATGCTGTCTCCGGGGCCCCTGGTGTGGTTTTAGACCAATCCCAAGAATTTGTCACGGTAAACTGCACGGGCTTGAATTTCTGCCCAGTGGATCCCAATGGTTGCTTCTCATGGAACCCCCCTACCCATGAGTTAAACCCAACCCGAACTTGAACAGAGCAAAAGTATGGTTCTTGGGGGCATTTGGGGATGGATGGACACCAATTTAGACTCGAGTTCTCTTCCCGCTCCGCACCCAATACCGGTTTGCCGACCGAAGGATGGGGGGAGTGACATGGAGTGACAAAAGGCTCGTCGTCAGCCACCGGCATGAACCGTGGACTGAGAAACTGTCAGTGGTTCTTCCAATGTGAACGGGTTGATGGATGTTGATGGATGTTGATGGACCAAATCCAGATCTCAGTAGAACAACTGACTACCGGGACCTGGAGACCAACATCTGGCCACGCTCTGGCCACATCAAGTGCTAGTGACTGCTAGTGTGGTAGGAACACTTCTGGACGACTGTCATTGAAATGCCAATACAAATTCAGCTTTTCCTCGAGCCGTTCAGCGTGTAGTATCGCATAGCCTTGTGTGGCATCATTCCGCCGACACACGGTGGCATGGCAGGGCAGGCAGGGCCATTCTCGTTGCTGCGTTGCTTCAGATATTTGCTTCATCGCTGTGTGACAACAAAGTATTCACCCCATTCCAGATGTATGGCACTGGCTTGTTTCTTTGTGCGGTGTGAATTCTGTACGAACACCAAATTCGGACTTGTGAGCCTTAAGCCGAATCCTGGAATCCGATGTGGTCAATTTTTAACAGCTCAGCAGCCAGATAGTGCAAGGGCACCAGCTCCCTTTTTGTGTCTCCCCTCTCTCTCTCTCTCTTTTCTTGAACCATGACAGGAGGGAGGATTTTGTGTTGTTTTATCCATGCAAGGGTCCACCACAAGACCCAAAGATTGAAGCCTTAGAAACTAGGAATGTCTAAGAGCTTCTTTGTGCTTCTTGGAGTAGATGCTAATGACAAAGCGGTGAAGGTCTAGAGGGGTGTGGCTGGGTTTGGGGCTGTCTGGGATGTTGCAGAGGACTCTGTGTAACTAATTTTAATGATTGGTATGAGATACAGGGCATCTCTATTACGAGTTTGTCAAAAGGGCGAAGGCTTGTTACTTTGTTTACCCCCATGGAACATCATTTAGTGTAATTCGGGTCCATGATTGCTCTCACCAGTGGGACAACCATACGGAGGTTGTATATTGAATTGCATCCAGAAATGATACTGTATATAATATAAATAGTCATCAAGATTAATACTCAGATATCTCAGATGCAGATGTTCAAACAACCAAGTGGACAATTATTTGTATTGTATAGTCTTGAACATTTTCTAGATTGCCCGACAGTTTGATCAACGGTTGTCTACAAATACATGTTAAACATGTGTATATATATATACACACCAGGACCCACGGTCGGGGCTGTTGATGGAATTTGTTCTTGAACCTCTAGTTAGATATAGTTAGGGACCAGGGACTATCTTTTAAAATTCACCCGGTTTCCAGGGGCGCCCTTGGGGGCTATGACATACATCGACCGTCCCGTTTGTTCCGGGCTTGACTGCCTAAACAGTGCAACCCGAAAAAGCTCCCCGGCCACGTCCAGGTGCCTCGTCGGCCAGGAGCTCAGGGAAGGGAGAGTGAACGAGGACGAGGACGAGCCAACCAACCCAGCAGGCAGAACCAGAACTAGATCCGATGTAGAAGATGGAGAAGACGAAGATGAAAGAACCAAATCCAAGTGTGGCTAGAAGGAATGTCCAGCCTGACTCTGGATACCACTCTGGTGGTCAATCAAATGAAGATGCGGTTAATGCCATGAAGATGAAGATCAAGAAACGACAACAAATATGAAACAAAGGTGCAGTTATAACAATAATCAGTTGTATAATGAAACAAAGATGAACTTCCTGAAACGAAAGCAAAGATGAACTTCATGAACGAAGTTGAAGACAAAGCTAATGAAGCGAAGATGAAGATGACAGTAGTACAACGAAGATCAACGCAATGACACGACGATGCAGCTAATTTTTAGGTTTATGAACAAATAAATACAAATAAACATTCATTTGGATCATGAAACGAAGATGAAGCGGATGAAATGGTGACATTTATGCAACCGAACGTCATTATCCCTCACCCTCCCGGTCAACCGGACATCATCACTGATGTTGGTTAACGTTGTGTTCATGCACACCATAAAACAATGTAACATCGTAGAATGTCCCACACAAACCACAACGCAGGGTCCTGTAATTCGTTTATTAAACGTATGGTCAATTCGAAACCGGATTTGAGTCGGGCACGCCAGCCATACAAGGAACCAGCGATTGGATGCTACGCAAACCTATCTCTTGGACCGATCTCTTGGACCGACAAGACATCGCCACCCAGCTCTGATGTCAAGTGCTCTGATCCGGTGATTCAACCGGGTGGCCAGTGATCCAATTCCCCATGACCCAACGGTAAAAGGACTTTGGAACTGGCACTGTAAACATGATATCTTCAAGCGCCCCGAGACAGCCAAGGTTTTGTGACTTAGGAGTTTCTGTCACTGTTAGGAAAAAAGAAAAGGACACAGAAAAGGAAGAAGAGCTGCAGCAGCTAGCAGGTGTGCGAGTAGTATGCTATTAAGATCCATGGGCCGAAAGGCGGACCTTGCAGAGTCGCATCAAGGTCAACTTTTCGGAGGACACCCCCAGTAGTTTTCGACACTTGTTATGGCGCGCGCACACACACATGCTGCCAAGATAATATGTTCATGACATGCTTTCCTTTCAAAACGTTGGATCAAATCTTTTCCGATCCCACGGATCTCGCTAAGACAGCCTTGTGCGGGCTCTCCGGCGCTACAACGCGCAATTGCATGCCCACAACAACAAGCCAGCTTTGCCACTCCGGGGCAATGCTGGCGGTGGGATGGTTGTGACGGACTTTTCGAGCGATAACTTGAAGGTGGGGCAGTGAAATCGTGAAAGACATACTGTACGACGCCGGATTCAAACAAACTAGTCGCTTTGGAGTTGGTCAAACTTTCGTCATCAAATCTGCTGACAGGACCGGGAGTGCCACATCATCGTGGACTCCCAGCATTGGGTAGGTGAATTCGTGGTGTGGAGTCCGCCCATGTTGCACCCTTGGGGACATGCAGCTGTGGGTTGCCAAAGAGCTCCCACCGTCTGCCATGTATACCGCCAACAATGTTCTCATCGCCGCGCGGTTGGGGGAAGGCGCGGCGGGTATCCGGAACGCCGACCACAGTGGCGATCGCTTTCTTTCTTCCGACGACCCCGCCCTGGTCGCGAGTTGTGGTGTAGCAGGTGGTCGCGTAGTAGTCAGTATATTGTGGTCGTAGATGCTAGAAGTTTCGATTCTTCGGCTCGGGGCGTGCTCCTTTTTGTGACCTTTATCCTTTGAATGAGTTTGCTTTTTTGCTAGCGTTCCCTTCGCAAGCTAAGGCTGCCAAGGACTTGAAGCCTGCCAGCGTAGGACAGGCTCTGGAAGTTGGTGGACTTCGGCTCCGCAAGCCCGCTAGTGGACAGGATCTGTTTTGTGCGGGCCGACAAACACATCCACAAACACAACCATAAACACAGCCACAAACACAGCCACAAACACAACCGCAACCACACCCACAACCACGAGCACAGCCACGAGCACAGCCACAACCACAAACACAGCCACAAACACTGCCACCAACACTACCACAAACACAACGGCAAACGCAACCACAGCCACAAACGCAAACACTTCCACAAACACAACCACAAACGCAGCCACAACTACAAACACAAGCATAGCCACAAACACAAACACAACCACAAACACAAACACTTTTCACAAACACAACCACAAACACAAACACAACCACAAACACCCCCACAAACATCGCCACAGCCACACACAAACACAGCCACAAGCGCAACCACAAACACAACACACCACGTGACACACACACACACACACTGTTTCCAAGAGTTTTTTTTCTGAAACCATGTTCGCAGGGGGCCATCCCCCTCACCAGTGGTGGATGGCCACCGAAGAGGGGTGAGGGCTGAAAACGTACCTGCGGAACTGTTGCGCAAGCTGTTCTCCTTTCAGTTTGCTTTTTATGGTGGTTCTCATGCTATTCCCCTAAACCCTTTTTATGCACAGCGATGCACAGCGTTAATTCGGTCGGCTAAGAATTCAGTAACTAGCTTTCCGCAGTCACGCGCTAACCTTTTGTTAAAACACCTTCAACTCACTGGACCCAGCCGCCTTCCGTTCCATCGCTCCCTTTGCCGTGGATTCTGATACTGGATGAACCTGTGACTAATTATAAGTGTGTATCGCTGTGTCTTCCCACTGGGTACACAGTGTGATCCTCTGGCAAGAGAGGCGCTGAAGCCGTTCGTGAATCACATTTTTCTGACTCGAAGTGCAGCCATCGTGAATTCTGGTCTGATTCTTTGTTTCACCCATGAATCTTCAGATCGCACAGCTGCCGAGCTATGAGCTATGGAATTCTACGCCGCCGGGCTTACGGTAAACATACACATGTACACACACATGGACATACACCCCCCTCCCTTCCCCCCCCCGCTTTCTCTGCGTTCAGGCTTGTTAGGTTGTTCTTCAGGCTCGTTTCCCTGCCCCTCGGGTTTTTAAGTTAAGGGCTAAGTAGTCAAGTGCTAAGTAGTCACCTTTTTCGCTACCCCTATCTTTTTCTCTTGCCCTTTTCGTTTTGTTCTTTCCGTCTTTCTTTCTTTTCTAAGGCTTTTTAGGTACATACTGAGGTTCTGGCCCGTAACTTGCCGCTCGTGCGGCAGACCTGCGCACCCTTACACCTACCTTGTTCTCCTGCCCTCTTCGTTTTCCGTTTCTTTTTCTTTCCTTTCTTTTTCCAAGGCTTGTTAGGTGACTATTTAGGTTTAGCGTCGCAAAGCGGCCGTGTGTGTGTGTGTAACCCTTGGAATCATAGGGATCCTTTCGGATTGTTTTAGCTTCACAGTTGTTTTCCTTGTGCAGCAGGGGCGTGTGGCACTCTCGTCCTACCACACGCAATGAAGCTGTGGGCGAGAGTGGGAAGGGAAACTTGGCCAGTTTCCTGTACCTGCT